GGTGTGACAGTCCTGCAGAAGGGTTGCATGGACCTCTTCCAGAATGGTCTTAACTCCAGCGATTCATCGGTGAGCATTTGTATAAAAAAGGAATTTGCAGTTTCATTACACAAGTGCACAGTCCATTTGCAACTGTGAGCAACATTAGTGATTGATTTCATTGCTCTGCCTCAGGTCCAGGCCCGCTGTTACCAGCTGCTGTTGTCAGTGTTTCAACACTTTAACCGTGCATTGTCTACACCATATATCCACACTCTGGCTCCACTCATCGTGGAGAAGCTGAAGGCAGTTGAGCACAATCGGCCGAGGACTGCTGCCGAGCTGCAGGCAGTGCAGGAAGGAATCAGGGTCCTGGAGAATTTGGTGGGAATGGGTGAAGAACAGTGCCGTAAGTATGCCTTTGTCTGAGGGATCAATAATGCACAATAAATGTTCCATTAAATTGTCCATCCCCTAATGTACATTATTCCTCATATGTTGAAGCTTAGTGCATTTAAATGTGTACTTTCAACTAGGCAACTACATTAAATGTTAATTTTAGAGCATCTGTTCAACCTAACTGTCAAAACGACTCTACCAAATACTACATCCTTCAGCCATCACTCCTCTATATTTACAAATAAAAGTATTTATTTAATTTTATTTTGTTGTTCTCAACATCCTACTGTTCCTGTGTTCAGGTGTTCCGCTGCTGGCTTTACTTGTACCAACTCTCATCTCTTACCTATTGGATGAAAACGCCATCTCTTCTGCGCCCCAAGTCTCCAAAGGCCTGCATGATTTTGCCCTGCAAAACTTAATGCGGATCGGGCCCCTCTACCCAGCCGCCTTCAAGGTCGTCATTGGAGCAGCACCTGAGCTCAAAACCCGCCTGGAATCTGCCATACGCGCCAACCAGGCCAGCAGCAAAGCCAAAGCTGCAGCCAGACAAACTCAGCCAGCTGCACAAACGGCACCGACTATCAAACTCAAGACCAACTTCTTCTGAACACTCCTCAAATGCACTGTACACCCTCAAAGCCTCATTTAATTCAATAGTTCTTTGGAGTTTATTGTTGTGTTTATTGTCATTGAATTCTAACACATCTTATTAGTTGCTTATACAATTGATAAATATATTTATTTTACATGATAGGGACATTTCTTAAACTCTAGAAGGCATGAATGTAGTTATAATTACATTTTTGAATGTTCAGCATTTAAAATTGAATCTCAATATTGGGAAATTATCATTTGAATGTATCACTGTGATGCCCATTCCTGAAAGGACATTTTATTTTTTTAACCATCCACTTTTTATTTGTTTCTGTTTTGATGCCTTCAGTATGATCACCAACCTTCACTTGACAAATGCTGATGTCTACTGTTTTATTTTTGTCACCATAAGCATGGCTGTATTTTTATTGCAATCACAAGCCTTTCTTTGGTCAGCTAATACCGATAGAAATGTTCTCCTATTTTACCTGTTTAAAATGTTTCTGTTAACATTCCTACCACATTCCTAAATTAGATTTTATTTGTGAAATATTAAAATTTTCATGTTTCAAGTTATTAAAGTGATATATGGATTTTTTTCACATAAATATTTTTATTAGAAGTACTGAATATATCTGATTATTGTTTGTTTATGATATAAAATGCCTGGTTCATAATATAACATTTACAAATGTCATTGACATTGATGACATTGTTGTCAATGCTACAAATAGTCTTCCTTAAAACAACACATTTGCAATTTTACATTTTTAAATTAATTTTTAAATTAAAGCAATTGCATTCTACATCACTTTAGACGTAAACTCGAATGTAAGTAAGCAAATATCAGCTATTATTGTGGAAATGCAAATCATGACTTCCTCAACCACCAGGGTGCAGAATGTCATCTGTCCATAAACAGAACTGAGAGGTTACTCCAAACATGGGTCAAAAGTTCAGTTTTTAGGACAAAATGAAAAATTCCAATATCAGTGAAATAGGTGATAAGGGAATGTATTTGTCAATAAGTCTTTAAAACGTTGTAGACAGGTGCCAGTTTTTTAGGTTTTGTTTCTCAACAGCCATTAAACAGTTACACTAAAAAAAAGAATAGGAACAAAATATGAATAAGAAAACTTTGATCTGGCCAGCAACAAGGAAATGTGCAAATATACTAAAAGAAGAATCTCAGTTTTTACCTAACTGTTTGTATTATTCGTATTATATTAAAAAATATTAATTTATGAGGGAAGAGTTGCAAGTTTGACTCAGGAAGTTGTTGTTATTGGCGATGTTTAAATAAATAAATAAATAAATGATAATGAATTTTGTTAATGAATTCTAAATTAGACTGCTTATCCATATAGTTAAATAAATGAGAAATGGGTTCACCGGACCGTCTCGGTAACTAAATCGAGCGCCCCCAGGAAACGTAGGTGGGCGGGGCTGTGGTCATTGACGTCATTCAATGTCAGAGAGCTGTCAGAAAGTGAGTTCATTCCCTACAGCAGCCGAGCACACCGAGCGCGGTTGATAGATTTCAGCCTCTCTAGTGGTATTCAGAACGCCGACTCAGTCAGCGAAGACGACGGGCAGACCTTTCCACCGAGCCCGGCCATGGACGAACAGGCAGGGCCCGGTGTGTTCTTCAACAATAATAACAACTCCGTTTTACCGGGTTGTGGAAAGGGACCTCTGCCTGATGGCGACGCTGGGGAGGCGGCCAGGGCGCAGTACAGTATCCCGGGGATCTTGCACTTCCTGCAGCACGAATGGGCCCGTTTCGAAGTAGAGAGAGCACAGTGGGAGGTGGAGCGGGCCGAGTTACAGGTAAAACACCTCCCTTTTACCATCTATTGGAGTACACGCTAGTGGCGCTACCCGGAAATTTGTGGTACTCTCGCTGAGTTGTTTTTGATTGTTCTGGAGACAAGGCTAGCTTGTTAGCTTTAGCTTACACAGCTAAATGAGCTACAGCGCCCCCTGATCAGACTGTCGACGGCTGTTTCAGACTTATTTACGGTGACCGTTCTTAAATAACTTTTCCTCCTCTCGTGGAAACTTTTAAAATGTGGTTTGAATGTAAAAACGCGTGTTAACGTATCCAGTTGTTTAACAATTACTATCATAGTAGAATTAGTAAAGGGAGACAGCTAACGTTAAGTACTCACTATAGCTGCACGTATAGTAAGTACCCCGCCTTGATTTCCACTACACTTAATCTGTAATCCCTGAAATAAAATAAAATAAAAATAAAAAACATGTGAAGCAGAGTGCTGTGGTTGTTGACAGTAGAGGCTGTAAAGCCATTGTGTCGTGTGTTTAAACGGCATTTTTATCAAATGGATGGTTGACATTGTCTTTAGTGAAAAGCATAGTATTCCTAATAAAGGTGAGTAGCACACTCATAGTTGTAGCCTTTATCAGATACACAGCTATTCAAAAGAGAGTTTCCTGCCATTACACTGTTCACAGTTTTATAGACCATAATGTTCAAGTCGGTAAACCTTGAAGTTAATGTTTTATAAATGCACAATGTTCCCCTTAATTTCTTATTATGTTAGTCACTGACTAGTCATCTGACTGTCTCCAAAAATATCTTATTGCACTGATTAAATTGTAAAGAATATAAGTAAGCATCATAATCAGAGAAGCAATAAGAAAAATTGTAAAGTTCTTATAGGGAGAAATTATTCATTTAGTCCATGGTGTAATAAGTCTGATACACTACTGGTTATCCCCGATATCCCATTTAGACTTGTATATCATTATCAATATCTGCTCTAGATTTTTGGGTAAGAAAGACCATTTGGAAACATCAACATATTTTGTCTCTGTAAATTATTCCAAGATGTCATACTTGGTATGCAGTAGAGGTAGATGGCCTTGGAAGCACTCACAGCAGTTGTTACAGATTTTGAGCTAGTGCTTTGTAAGTTTATATATGATTTGATTTTTAGGGTCTCATACTTATGTTGATTTCATATTATAGAATGCCAGTGTATCAGCAAAATATTACAAGAAAACACAAAATGTATGTTTGCATGTATTTATCTTTTTATCTTTTTTTAATTCCCTGCAAGTGGCTATTGGTGCAGTTTTGAAGAGAACCGTGGGAACACTCTGTTGCAGTTGTTGACTGTTATCAACATAGTTTTTTTTTAGTTATAATGTAATTTAATTCCATGCTCAATATATTGCCATTTTATTCGTTTTTTTTTTTCATTTTGACAAAGTGTGGTGCTATATAGAGATAACAGAACAAGACCAACTTTTGCCTGGTATTTTATTCGACATATTCCACCTACTCCTCACGGCTAACAAAGGGACACAAGGGAGACAGTGCATCCTTTTTAGATCAGTGACGTATGCCTCAAACACTATAGTGGGGTTTTGACTCATCAGCCTTGTTCAGTGCCTCGGTCTGGCCTGTGTACCAAGCTTCCTGTCTGCTGTCGTGTAACAAGCATATCACAGAAGTGCAGCAACTGTGGTAAAGAGCGGTGAGGTTGCTAAAAGGTTTATTGGAGGGTTTGTTTATGGCGGGAAATTGATAAGAGTGCGATTTCAGCCTTTGTTTTTGTTGCATGTTAGTCCTTCAGGCTGATTGAAGTTTTCATCATTATTTGAACTCCAAATGTCTTTGACTTTATTGCAATTTAAACTAGTCTATTGCATTTCTTATTCTCCCATAGCAGTGATGATTGACTGACTGGTAAAAAGGCTTGAAATTTACAAGTAATGTTAACCTCTTACTTTCATTTTTGGATTGTGTTCACATTGTCTCTTGTTTATTTACACTTCTTTTAGTGTACATCTTGAGGTAATTGGTGGATTTATGTTTAGCAGAGGCACTGTGAGGCATAAATTCACAGTAATATTCAGTCTAAATAGTGTGGTTATTGTGGGGTTTTTAATCCCTAAATCAGTCATGCTTATTAAGGTGAGAAGAACTTTTTTGAAACTCGAGACGTTTAATATGTACAATTTCACAACCCAGTGAGTACTGATGTTGCTTTTCTTCTGGGTTGTCAAACATGAAAAGGAAAACAGTTAAAGCTGTGTGTTCTGTTTGGGAGGGAGGCAAACCTCAGGGCTCATAGGAATGTTGTCCAGTCAGGCTCTTAGATCACGCTCAGAGCCACTCCTCACTCCTGAAGCAGTGCTGTTCACAAACTTGTCCTGCTGATGTGCAGTGTCTATGTGCGAGGGCTGCTGTCAATTATGATCAAACTCCAGCTGAGTGATCATTGACGATTAATGGATTGACTCAGTCAAGCTGATTTGCTCTGTGGGTGACATCAGTTTGTCATATTCCATCTTGGTAGTGAGAGCAAATTGAAACTAATGATTATTTGCTATCCATTTTCAGAGTGTATCAAATGCTTTCAGAATCTGAATCAGTGCTTTATTTTTGTTGATGTAAAGTGTTGTTTAATCATTTGATTATCATATTTGTACATTGCAATTTTTGATTTGTGGTTATTTTTTTTGTTTTGTTTTTCTTTGTTTCTTTGCTAAAGAATGACGTACCTGAACAATAAATGATTAATCATTTGAGACAGTAATTTGTCTTAGGTTTCATGCCTCAACACACCAATCAATCTATTTTATTTGAATTGCTCTATTAATTGAGCATGGTTAAAATTTAATATACATCTTGTACCAGTTTTTTGCCACATAGCATCTCTGTTATTGTTTAAATGTATTCCTATGTCCTAATTGTTTCATTGGAACACCATGATATAATCAAACAGCTTTCAGTGTTTGTCGTATTATATTTATAAATATATATTATGGAATATTTGTATAATAGTGATGTCACATTGCTAAACATATAAACACTCTGTGACTGAGGTTGAATTGAGTTACACCCCGTCCAGGCCTCCAGTAATGGGGAAATCCCTGCTCCATAAGGTATCTCCTTGCCAGAAGTATCTGTCAGCGGTCAGAATATGACACCAGGAGAAGGTTGAAGGTGACGTGGGGTGTAAAGCTTCATTTAGGTATAGACGGAAACATGGACGTGCTTATCCTGACCAGAAGTGTCTTCTGTATTACTACAGGAAATGCTTTTAGCAGACACAGACGCAGTGTATCATGGTACTTAATTTCCACGTAACTATATGGCCACATCGAATAAGTCAATCTTTGTTGGTTTACCACTATACTTGGTGTATTTTTACTTATAGAACGCCCTGAGCATGTTCACCACAGTGGTCAGTGTGAATGGATGCACCATACACATATAGAGGCATTTACAAATGGTAGTCGCTGTCATTCCTCAGCTGATACCACATCCACCTCCGAGCTGAAGCTATTTTTGTCTCGTCTGTGCAGCTTGGAATGGGAAAGTACAAAAAAGCAAAGTACAGCTTTTATCATCAAAAGTACTGCATATATACAGTGGTCACTTGTGGCTGCTTTAAATATTTAAACTCTTACTGTGTTACAAAAAACCCTGTAGTTTCTGTTAGGGCTGTCACTTTTTACAGAAGTCAAGTTGAACAAAAATTACATAGCTTAGCAGACCTTCAAAGCGAATGGACATGTAGTGCATGCTGTGGTTCTCTAAAACACAAAAGAACTCTTCTGAAAGTCTTTAGAACAGATGAAACTTGTAATTTGTAGTAGTATTTTCCTTGCTTAAATGATTGACTTGTCATAGCCCTTTTACTTAGGTCTCCATAGTTTGGGAAAAACCTTTTACTGCAACCCCAAAAGTTTTAACTGTTCCTGATGAATTTTATTTGCCGGACAAGTGCTACAAATGTGTTTGTGGTCGAAGCCTAGGAGAATTGCATTAATTCTTATTTTAATCTTCTTCTTTTGAGGAACTACAGTCTGCGTTTCTACTGCATGTATCTGCTGCATGTATACAGAGAAAATCGAGAGTCTAATGTCATGTCCTAATAATGCCACTTAACTGCTCATATCTTATCTCCTGTGCACAGAATGTACAGTGGACTACAAAGTATCAGGGCTCACTGCCCTATTTAGTCAAAACGTGTCGACAGAACTGCCACAAAAGCATCTAAAGGTCATTTTGATTATACTGTTGAAGTCAGGGTAATTGAGAATTATTTGTTTTTTTATGTAGGATAACATGAAGGAAGCCATGTTCATGAACTCTAGTCTGTTCCTCTGGGAGTTGCTCCACTGCCCCCATTGGACTCACACCAGAGCATTTCTCCGTGCTGTAGCGCTGCCCTGTGGGCCTGTTAATTCCTCCCTGCTTTATTCATTCACACTTATGGCCTCGGTCTGTCTGTGTGGGAGGGCAGGACAGCTGGCTGCCGTCCCCATTTTCATAGTAACTCATTGGTCTATCAGTTTTGAAGCTGGGGTCGCTATGTGATGGTGTTCTAATTTTTACTTTTTAAGTTTTCCAAGTTTTCCAGAGCAGTTTTGTTGTTCTAATTTGTATAATTACACCATATACAGTAAACCAAGGTTGTGTTGGTACATCACATCACTGCAAGTTCACGTTATACAGATGATGCCATGTTATTCTTTAACACAATCCTATTTTAACAACATTAAACTCTGGCAGTGGTTGATATAGTTTAATAAAATTAATTATTAACTATAAAGAGGAAAAATGTGTGTACAAGGGAAAGATTACAAAAACATTTCAAAATGAGATGAATTGTGTTACAGAACACAGCATTCCTAACAGAACATAAATATAATCCCTTATGAACAAATAGATATAGTCAAGAAAGCAGTTACGTTCACCCCTGTAACAATTTGATGCATAGTCACTAGACTCTGTCTAATGCTCTAGCCGCATATAGTATTTAATTATACTGTGCAGTACATGCTGTTAA